TTTTTTTGTTTTTAAGAAGTCATTTGTAATTTTTACACAAGTTGCATTTAGGTGAAATTGTCCAGTGGTGCGTAGAACCTTTACGATACCATGGGAAATAAACAGTTCTATGTTTAAAACATTGACTTTTAGACTTGACCACCTCTACATCTTGAATTTACTCAGCAAAGACCAATTTTGCCGTATTGCATAGATTTGGCCCGGGCTTTTAAATATGTGTTATTCTGTGAAACAGATGTTCTGTGTAGGAAAAATAAGTGTTTGCCAGTCTCACTTAAAAATAATCTTTCTATTGTACATTAAGCATTTTTGTGCCTTATGAAATTAGTACTTGTATTTTTTCCCCTTATTTCCTGATACGGGAAACAAACATTTAATATATAAGTTAGACTAAATGTTGACTATCAAATACACTGGCACTTTAGCTAAGGAAATATGGAGCATGTTCTCATCCAGATCTGTGCTTGAAAACACACGTTGACTTGGTGAATTTGTCTTTTCCTGTTTGATGTTTGTGGTCTCATACTAGGTTCCCTACCAGATACAGGAAAGTGTTGTCTTAACTGCTCTTGTTTTTTCTGGGTGCTTTCTTGTGTCATACAGGTGTTATATAAAGAGAACCTCGGGAAAGGAATCCCGATTCCTATCACTCCAGAGATGGAGAGAGTCAAACACAATCAAGAAAACTTTAGTTCGGTACTTAAAAGAGAAAAAAAATCCCTTAACTATTTTTAAAATATTTTAAAAGCATTAATGGCTATATTTCAAAATCTAATCAACTTATCCCAATAAAAACTTTGACATATCTTGTTGGCAACTTAATGCTGCCATTTCCTATCATCAGTTCCCCCATTTTGGTTAAACATTAATATAATGATGACTTAAAAAAAAAAAGTGTTCAGTATTGTATACCAGCCTTTAGAAGCATAACATTCTCAACGCCTAAGCACCCACATTTATCCTGCTTTGGCAAATTTGATCTGAGCGTAAGCTTACAAAAATTTATTCTGCAACAATCAGACTGTGGACTTATTTCTTATTCTAACCTTCTCTGTCCCCACTGATACTTGTACAGATATTTTCAAGTTTCTTACTTTCTTTTTTTTCTTGCATTTTATCATTGCTCTCCACTTGCTTTAAAAATAATTAATTTTTCCCAATATGTTCACCCAAACTAAAAATTAAATACTTGGACTTCTTTTGAAAGTCAACAAAAGAAGATGTGTGCATACATATCTACATATTTGCAATGTTTATAAAACCCATATATCCTTATGTGGTTTATTAATAACATTTCCAAATCAAAAATAACTTCCTTGGTTCACTTGCTGTCTCTTGCTGTTTTTATTTTTTCCCTCCTCATAACAAGCTGGGAAGGTCTAATTGCTCCCTTTCGTGGTGGTCTCTCTCCATTGCTCAGCGCTGCAAAGATTAGTTCAAACACAAATAATAAAACTTTCCTGTCTCTTAGTTTTTGCTGCTTTTTCCTGCAGTCCCTTGCTTTTAAGGATGCCTCTAGGCTCATACAGGTTGGATCTAGAAGCTTGTGGAATTTCCCTTTCTCTAACTCACCCTCTTCCTCTTTGCCCTTGACTCCCAGGTGCTCCACAGAGGGGGGAAATGGCTGATGGCTCTTTTTGTTCTGGGTGCTTTCTTCTCACACAGGTGCTATACAAAGAAAACCTAGGGACAGGAATTCCAGTCTCCATCACTCCTGAGATGCAGAGAGTCAAACACAATCAAGAAAACATTAGCTCGGTATTTTGGAGAGAAAGGGGAAAGAAGATGCCATTTAACCTCATACTTAAATTGATACTAAATATTTATTCTTTTTTCAAACCCACTTCCCCTTCCTTCGCTTCTAATATACCTCAATTAGCTAAAGAACATACATACTTTTGCATTTCTACGATACTACTATTGGTTCTATTTTTTTTCATTTCAGTTAATTGATTTCTATTCTTTCTGGTGTTTTAAAATATTTTTTCTAAAAAACCACTTGTCTTTTTAGTTTGCTTGGATAACAACAAAACCATAATCTAACAATCTTAAGTCCCCACGTGATTGTTTAGGAGACACCATGCTCACAAACATGAAAAAATAACATGAATAACTCCGGCAGCCCTTTCCCAGCAGCTGAGGTTCTTGGCGCCCTAGAGTGTCTCCCCATCCTAAGAATGGCTGTCGTTAAAGTAATTTGTGGCATTTTGTCAATATATAACTCCTGGCTTCTTGGGACTACTGTGTCTTTTGGTAACAAGGAAGTTGAACTCACCT